TCCTCCTCTCTCCTCCTCCTCTCCTCTCCTCCTCTCCTCCTCCTCCCTCCCTCTCCCTCCTCCCCTCCCTCCCGCCTCCTCCTCCTCCTCCTCCTCCTTCCTCTCCTCCTCCTCCTCGCTCCTCCTCCTCGTCCTCCTGCTCCTCCTCCTCCTCCTCCTCCTCCTCTCTCCTCCTCCGCCTCCTCCTCCTCCTCCTCCTCCTCCTCCTCCCTCTCTTCCTCCTGCCCCCCTCTATCTCATCCCTCCGCCGGCGGCAGAGAGGCTCCGAAAAAATCCTCTCGCTGTGGAACAGAAATCACGACGGGAGGCTGTAGGCATTGTGCGGCCTCCAGGCCCCCTGGCCCCGCGGTCGTCAGAGAACTGCTCGGGTGAACAACAACAACAACAACAACAACAACAACAACAACAACAACAACAACAACAACAACAACAACATCAACAACAACAACAACAACAACAACAACAACAACAACAACAACAACAACAAACGGCCCGGGAAAGGGTGGTCTGGACCTCCTGCGCTCAACGCTCCGAAAACATGGCGACGTCTGAGTTCCTGGGGCCAGAGGAGGCGGCCGAGGCGGAACGGCGGATGTGAAGCAGGGGGGAGTCGTACTAGTCTTGTCCTCTTCCCGCATCCACCATCACCATCACCATCACCATCACCATCACCATCACCATCATCATCATCAGCAGCATCAGCAGCATCAGCACCATCATCATCACCATCATCGCCATCATCAGCATCATCATCATCATCATCAGCATCATCATCATCATCAGCATCATCATCATCATCATCATCAGCAGCAGCAGCAACACCATCATCGTCATTACCCCCATCATTAACATACGCGCCACCATCCTCATATCAATAGTTCCTCTTCAATTCCCCTTCCTAATACATAACTCCTCCTGACGCACCCAGAGAAGGGCTGGTAGGGCGGGCCGGGCGGTTCGCCTGAAAGTTCCTCACCCTTTTTATGATCCTGAAGCTTGAAGTTTTCAGGATGTTCACGGATGGAGGGCGGGCCGTTTTCAAAATGTGGCTCTCGCCTCAGCGCCGCGCACCCTCGACTTAAAAGGGTCTGGAGAGCTTCACTGATGGGAGGCATGCCGTTTCCGAAAGGTGGCTCTCCCCTCAACGCCACTCACACTCGCCTTAACACTTTGCAGCAAATTCCCGGGTGGAGGGCGGGCCGTTTTCCAAATCCAGTTTTCTTCTTAGCTCTACGCACATTCGTTTCGACGCTTACAGGAGCTTCACGGATGGATGGCGGCTACTTTTCAAAATGCGGCTGTCGCAGTAGCGTCACGCAGATTCGTCTTACCCGTTCACAAGGAATTCAATGACACTTACTGCTGACGTTCCAGAAACGGTGTTCTGGCACGAATTAGGACTGACAAGGCGCCACAGTCACGTTAATTCACTGTGTTTCGCGACCCAGAGACGCTGTCCTGACACGGTTGAAAATCGCCAGGTCGCAACAGTAACGGTGATCTGCGGCGTTGAAGTTCCAAGAACGGTGCTTTCGCACGGTTGGAGATCTTCACACGGTTGTCTTCCAACGGGGCTCTTCCCGCAGAGCCGAGGCATCTATATATGAGCCCATGAAGAGGCAGCTTGCGGGGAGATGGTTCATTGCAACATCATTGAGGAGTCTTCGCTTGACACTGGTCATGGTCCTCCCCCTCCTCTCCACCTCCCTGCAAATGCACGGACGGAAAGGAATTGAGAACGGAGTCTCCACGGGTGGCATGAACCCCAGTCGCTCGCATATGCCGCATCCACTGCGAGGCAATAGTTCTCTAATTGCATCTTGTACGCAAGAGGGGGGGCAGCCCTGGAGGTAGGAAGAGGAGACCGATACCCTATCATAAGGGTCACGGCAATCATGCGCTGAGGAGGAAGGGGGCTGCGCCCCAAGCCGCCGCGCTATGCATTTCCTCAGCCACCTCCTGCCTGTGTGGTCCCCGTCGTCCTGCCATGCTGCCGTTCCCTCTGGTCCTCACTTCCCTCCTGGAGCTTGCCCAAGAGATAGCTTCCCCCTTTCCTGGCGCTGGCCAGGGGCACCGAAGGTCCCAAGTGTCACCAAACAGACCCGCAGCATCGAACATCGAGTCGGCGGGGGGGAGGAAGAGAAGGGAAGAGGGACGAGCGGGGGCGAGGGGGAGAGCGCAAAGGCGGGGTGGGAAAGTGGTACCCCATCCTCCCTAACTATCCGTCCGTCCCTCCCTTCCCTATCCCGCCCTCCCTCCTCTCCCCCCGATTCCGTGTTCCCCTCTGATGACCCCCAGCCTCACGCCATGCCTCCTTATCTCCCGTCACCCCTCAGACCCCGCTCTTCAACTTTCTTGGAAACAAATGCCTTTTGCCTATTCCCCCCACCCGCGTCCCTCCATCGTCCCTCGTCCAATCGCCCCCCCTCCTTTTCACTTTCTCCCTCCTCTCCCCTTCCCTCCCTCGCCGCCCCGACTGCCATTGCCTCCTCCCTTCCTCCCTCCATCCATCCTTCTCCTCCCTCCGCTCCCCCCTGAAGCTCCATGCGTCCCCCCCTCTTTCCCTGCCTGGGCTGGTCTGGCCGCGCGCACCAAAAAGTGAGGTGCGTCGTGCCAGTGCAGGTGCACTCCTCGCGCGCGCCTGCACTGCGGGGGCCAGGCCTCGCACTCGCGAGGCATGCTCGAAGAGCCCCCGCAGCGCCGCACCCGCCGCCCTCTGCCCTGTGCCTCCCTCTTGCGGGCCCCCAGGGATCTACACCACCACTACGTCGATTCCTCTGCCGTCATCTACCCTCCCTTTCCTCCCCCTTCTCCTGGTAGAGGGAGGGGGCGAGGGAGGTGGTGGGCGTGGTGATGTACATCTTTGGGCCCCGTACCTCTCCCCATCTGCCTTAGGGAAACAAGAAGTGACATAAACATAAAAACTCGGAGGTCCGCGCGGATTTCTCGGATCGGCGCTGGACACCCCTCGAGCGCGCCAGGGGCGGCGCCTGAGGCGCCGCCGGGGGGCACCAGCGCCGATGCACGCGCTCCCCTACCCCCGTAGCGGAGAGAGGGGGAAGGAGGGCTGCTCTTTTCCTTGAGCAACAAAGGGCTGCAGGAGTTCGTGTCATCGCCCAAACAGTCTGATTATCTTTTGATAGAATCGCATATCTTAGTAAAACTACAAACTTCCCAACACCTCTCCTTGGGCGCAGACACCAGCTCGGCCTCCAGCCGAAAAGCCGGAGCAGATACCAGCTTTGTGGCCCCTTCCGCGGGCCTTCCGCGGGACTCCCCGCGGGCCCTCAGCCCGTGCGCGGGTCTAACCGAAGTGGGCAGGCGCGGGGCTGACCGCAGCCTTGTCATTAGCTCAGCCTCGGCTGTCGTAGAGCTTCCTGCGACCATCCGTCTAGCTCTCTGGGTGGATCAGCTGAGAGCCATCAGGGCGATCTCGGCACTCGCTCTTGAACGTCTCAATCAACTGCTGCGCGGACTCCGGACTACTCAAGTCCTGTAGGTTGATCCTGATCAGGGGTCCGCGTATCGTAGCCGTCACTCTCAGCTGCTCGATCTCCTTGACCTGGCGATCCGACAGGACGTTGCCCTTCTTGATCAGCCTCATGATCAGATCGTCTTTGAGAGCACTCACGCGTAGGCCTTTGGCTCTCAAGATCTGCTTCAAGTCGACCACGAGAAACGCGTTGAAAAGCTTGTGCCTCGCTCCTCCGTCGCATCGCGCTGGACGAGGCTCTGTGCCAAGTCCCTGGACACTTATGGTTTTGACCTCCGCGTCAGTCCGCGTAGCCAGGTAGACGTCGGCGTCTCCAGGGGCGGGGCCAACCGCCTCCTGGACGAGGTCCTTCTTGAGGTAGCTCCTCGCGTAGCAACCGCGCGCGCAGCATAGAAACAAAGAAAAAACGCAGCGATCACCACGAAGGCACCCCTCTCCAGGATGAACCAGAACTCCTCGCGATGCACGTAGTGGGGCGCAGGAGCGGGGCAAGGCGCTGCCCGGCCTGGCTCCTCGCACACCGCCACCTTCTCGCCTGACGCAGAAGTCGCGACTCCCGTGAAAACTGCCATCGCGCTCAAGCCCTTAAGCTGTTTCCCGAACATGAGGTTCAGAGCGGTGCAGTGCTTCTCGATCTTCGACCACTCGCTGTACTTGGTGAGCATGTCTGCCGCCGTCTCATTGGCGTCCTCCTTCAGGCGCTCAAACGCCTTGAGCCGCAGCCGCTCTTGAAACCATAAGTACCTCTGTTCCAGGTGCCTGACCTTGCCCGCGCCCGCTCTGCTGCACATGCCCGGCCCCGCGGTGCTGTCGCTGTAGGTCTTCAGGTTGCAGGGCCCCTGGGTCTCGATCAGGTAGGTCTTGCACTGGAGTCATCTGGCAGTCGCACTGCCCGTGGCATGCATCTCGGATTCCCCTGAGCTTAGAGCTATGATGCTCTGCGTCGCTGAGTAGCAGTCCCATGTGTGGTCACCATGCCGCACTGCTCCTCCGCTCGCGGAACGTCTCTGCAATTCGCTTGTAGGGGCCCAGTCTGCATCTCCGCCCACACGAATGCCTTCAGGAGTACCCTGCAAAGGGCAACACCATACCAAGATAGGCTGTCCTTCGCAGTACCGTCCAAGGCGCTGAACTCGCGCATGCATCAGAACAGCGGGGTTTGAAACGCGCTGCGTCGCGGTCTTGCTGGCGCACGTCGTGTCGGGCCTGTCCGAAGAGAGGTAGAGCGCCGCGTCTGCTGCGCCTGCAACTTCCCGAGCTCGATCCTTGGACAGAAGGTCTAAGCGGCCTCGTCGTCCTTGTCCTGTCGCTTTCGTCCCTGGAGTAGGAGATGGCTTGCGCCGTCGCTTATGTGCCCGCTGAACCATGAAACCCACGTGCTTAGGATCCGCTGCCCAGAAGAAACATGGATCCTCTGAGCCTGGCAGCTTGTCGGTGCACCGGTAATCCTCTTGAGGTAGTTCGTCCGCCCAGGTCACCCATGACCCAGCCTGGCACTCGCTGTGACCTCGAACTGCCGTTTCAGCAACTCGTCCAGCTCGTCCAGCTGCTCGTCGTAACCTTCGGCCAGCAAGTCATCTCCGTGGCAAATCGCTACACTGTCCTCGTCGACGGCAGGAACGCTGGGACTCGCTGGTAAGTGGAACGCGTTAGGTGTCGCCGCCAAGCATTCCCAGTGGCCGTCGTCCGTGATAGTCCGCACCAGCTCTCCCCACATCTGCGATGCATCCCTGGCGCCGTTCATAGCCTTCCGCAGCCACCAGCACCTTCAGGAGCGCACAGCTCGCGTCCAGGATGAACGTAGATCGTCTCATCGAGGTCGGCGTTGAAAAAACCCTCCCCGACGTCCCAGACTTGGATTGCCCGCTTGTGCTCCCCCGCCGAAGTAGCACCTGATGCGGCACGGCTTAGCGTCGCCCTTGCAATCATGTGCGGCGGCGTGCCTTGGTGGTTGTCCTCGCGCACCTCGTGCTCGTTGATCTCCGTCGCCACGAACCCCCACCTGGCTCTGCCTTTCTGCATATGGGCGATGGGAAGCCTCCGATATGCATTCCGTCGGTCGCCGTCGACGTCGCCACCTCCACGTAGACCCCGTAGTCCTCCATGGCCTGGAGCTCGTTGTCGCGACCCTTGTGGTACAAATCCTCGTCCAGGGGCTCTCCCGAGCAGTAATCGTAGCGCATCGTCTTCGGGCTCCACTGGTCGTGCTCGTGCAACTCTGCGCTGACCTCAACCATCTGATCGATCTGCTCCTCGTCAGGTTCTTATAAGTGACTCCTGATCGTGCCGATGTGGCTCATCAGGCAGCGCCTGCATGCACACTCACCTCGGCGGCGCCCCATCAGCTGGCACCTCGACGAATGCTTCTCACACCTATCCGAGCATCTTGAACTTCGCTTCGGGCGTGGATCCCACATCGGGTCGAACGTCTCGTCGTAGCCTTCCTCGCAGACTGCCAGTTCACAGACAGAGAGCATGCCGATGGTTGCTACTCTCGGCTTCTTGATCTCGACTTCTGCCCTTGGGCCCCCTGGAGCGCCTCTGTGGAAGTCACTCCTGATCTGATCAGGTTCCGTCTGCATGGCTGTCTGTGCTTCTGCCTCTCCTGGGGCAGGAAGCATGGCCACGTCTTCTGCAGCCGGTGCGGGTGCTACCGCTACCTCGCTGCTGCTCGACGCCGCCGCTGGTCCAGCCGTCGCTCCAGGCGCGGGGGCTCCAGCAGCCGGGGCCGGCGCCGCTGCCGCGGCCTCTCGGGCCGCAGGGTCATTCTCCAAGTTCTCGCGCAAGAAGTCGAACCGCTGGCGGCAAACTGCCGAATGCGACCCATATCCAGCGCTGCATTTCCTGCAGTCGGTCGGGCCGCGACCGTCGATCACGCGCTCCGTGATGCGCATACTGCGCCCGATGGGTCATGCACTCGCGCCAGGGACGTGCTGCCACGGCGTCGCCCTAATGTTCTGAATGAGCTCAAGCTGCCACCTAAACTCCTCTGGCATCCTCCGCGCGGCCCTGACCTTCTGCACGCCGCGCCCCGGGCCGATCGCGAGGTTAACGTTGTCCAACTCGCTCTTTCCGACCCAGATCCCTTTCGAAAAGCGGGCCTCCCACTTGCCGCGTCCAACAACAGCTTGGGCTGAGATCCGATGCCAGAACTGCTCGCCCATCTCCGAGACCTCCCCACCGTGCTCTTTGCCACGCAGCATCTTGCGGGAGGAGCCCCCATGGCTTCGCGGCTGCAGCCGGGCGATCACCCAGCCCGCCGAAATGACGAGCCAAGGCACGATCGGATCCGTTGTCTTGATCTCGCGCCCCAATGCGCGCTCCAGCTTCAGCGCGCAGGTCTGCAGCAAACCTGCTGCAAGCTTGTTGGCGCCCTCGGCGCAGACAGCACTCTGCCTGGGAAAAGGCGGATATCCCCGCGCCAAGGTGGAGCGACACCTGCGATCTCGAACTGCGCTCGCCAGGGCCATCGCGGCAGGCCCCTGGTCTGTCTGAAGCACAACTGTCGCGTGACCCCAGACCTCCAGCACGGCCAACAGGAAGGACACATTGCAGCCATCAAATTCTTCAGTGGCATGCAGCGTCGCCTGTGACAGGATCTTGCAATCAAACACGTTCAGAACCGCGATCGCCTGTTCTAGATCTGCTTTCGTTAACAACGGCGTCTCACGGACGCTGAAGTAGCCTTCTTCGAGCTTGCACTTAGCCGCCAGCTGGTCAATTCTCCTTTCTAAAAACAGAATAAGATCTCCCCCCCCCCCTCCCCCCTCCACCCACCCCGCCCGCCCCCGCGCCCCGCCGCCCCGCCCACCCACCCCGCCCCGCGGCGTGATCGGTTCACCTCTCGGGCAAATAAATCACAAATGATTATGACCACATGTCCATCCTAAATATGCATTTACACTATCCCCGGGGGGCCGGCACCCCCCCCTGAGGTTCCCCGGTGAAAAAACACTACGCGGTAACATGTTTTGTTCCAACATAACACTTTGTCACGAATCCCTTGCAAAACATGGGACGAAATGCACGCGCGCGTCGTCGCGCGCGCCTGCCGAAATCCTTCAAAAACCTTCGGTGCCGGAAGGATTTCGCAATCGAGTCCCCAACAAACATACAACAACGCATGGTTTCGCAACGCTGAATTGCTAAAAAACTCCCGCGCGAGCTCTTGCGAAATCTGAAGAAAACCAACAAGGTTTTTCAATATTTACACAAAATGCTACCAAACGGGCATCGCGCGCGCGCATGTCGAAATCTGTCGAACGCCCTTGCGCGTGCGCCGTCGCGAGAACCCACTGCAAAAAAACGGGGCGAAGTGCAGGCGAGCGCGTCGTCGCGCGCGCGTGCCGAAATCCTTCGACACCCATCGGTTTCGGAGGAATTCAAAATCGCGCGTCCACAAAAACATACAAAAAACCAGCGGTTCCACAACGCGGATGTTCAACAAAAGCGCGCGCGCGCGCTCTTGCGTCGTCGTCGTCGTCGTCGTCGCCGTCCTCCCTCCTCCGGCGTCGTCGTCGTCGTCGCCTACGTCGTCCTCGGTCTTTCCTCGTGTTCGTCGTCATCGTCCTCTTTGGCGTCGTGGTCGTTTCCGTCGGCGCTGTCGCCGTGGTCGTCCTTCCTCCCCCTCCCTCGTCATCGTCGTCGTCCGTCGTCGGCGTCTCGTCGTCGTCCCTCCTATTTCGTCGCCGTCGTCGTCGTCGTCGTCGTTGTCTTCTCTCCTCCCTCGTCGTTGTCGTCGTCGGCGTCGCCGTCCTTTCTCCTTCTTCGTCGTTCGCGTCGTCGCCGTCCTCCCTCCTCCCTCGTCGTTGTCGTCGTTGTCGTCGTTGTCGCCGCCGTCGTCCTTCCTCGTCCCTCTTCGTCGCCTTCGTTGGCGTCGTCGTCGTCTTCGTCGTCGGCGTCGTTGTCGTCGTCGAAGTCGTCGGAGACGTCGTCGGTGTCGTCGCAGTCGTTGTCGTCGGTGTCGTCGTAGTCGGTCTGAAGAGGTTTTGCAAACCAAATTGCGGGTGGGTGGGCGGGATGTTTGCGCGAGCAGTGGAGATGGCGACATCAAGTTCAGCAGAGTGGGTTCCAACGTAGAAGATGTCGAACACCACCTTCGGCACTTGCACCTCGTCCGCTGGCCCCTGCACGCAGCGCGGATCGTCGCCCGCTCGAGCTTTCACGCGCAGTGCACACCGAGGGCGAAAAGGTAGGCGATGCCCTTCGCGCGCGGCTCTCTCCGCGGCACTAGGTTGGCAGGGCGACCTCAGCACTCTCGTCGGCAGCCGTAGTCTCGCACGCCTCTAGGCCTAGAACCCTCGGCAAAGATCCAACTTCTTGCTCAGCCGGGACCTTCCGCGGCAGCGTCTTCCTCGCTGCTGCTACCTGCGTGGCGTCTGGTTCGGTCTTGCCGTCTATGACGTGATCGCACTCTAAGTCGTAGTCGGCATCATGACATCGTAGAGGAACGAACTCAGCTCCTTCAGGTGGCTCGATGGCGCCGTTGATGATCCAGCGACCTGCAGGGCTACGGAGAAAGCTCTGGCCTCGCTGCACTACCGCATCTGTGGCCACAACGGTGTACTCCACGTCGGCAACGTCCGCGCCAACATGGAGAACCTCTCCTCCCCTGGACAGGTTCAGCTCCACATGGCCGTACCTCTCGATCTCCTCGCCTCCGATGCCCGTCATGCCAACGACGTTGCTGGCCACCGGCGTGTAGTTGCGCTGGGTCGCTTGCTGTCTCGGCGCTGCGCTGATCTGCGCGCCTGAGTCGGGCGCGATGGCATTCCGAAGCGGGGCAAGGCGCAGTCGGTCGCCCTCCGGCACCTGCCCCTGTAGGCCGCCGACCTCGAGCGGCGCGGGCCCGACCGCAGCTGACTCGCAGCAGCTGCGAGAAGTTGAACTTCGAGTGCATGCGCTTGCCCAGGCAGTATTCTGCGCACGCCCCGCAGAAGTCCCCGCAGAAGTCCAGCTTCCACTCGTGGTAGTGCCTTTTTTCTCTCCCTGAACATCTTCTTTCACGAGCTGCAGATGAACTCACTGTAGGAGGGCAGGGTGTACTTCCAGTCGATCCGGCGGGTTCGTGTTTTGCGACCTCGGCCCTCAGGGCCAGAGTCATCTTCGCTACCAGCCCTCTGCAGACTGGCGAGGTGACTGGCAATGTCTCTGCGCTCTCGGCGCTGCTGCGTGCACCTGGCAGAGGCTTGGCGTGCACCGTCGACCCTGTCGCTGGAGCTACTCCTGCTTGTCTCAAATTCTCGAGCTCATTTACTGCCGCTCCCGCGACCCTCTTCTGCTCCTTGACCTTTTCTTTTCTGTGCTGCTTCTTGTCCTCGTTATCGCGGTTGGCGGCTGCCTGCTTCTCGTCGGCTATCCGCGCGCGGCAGTTGGCGCTTCGGTGGCCCTTCTTGCGACAGTAGTTGCACTCCAGGTCGGCGTCTGGGTTCGGCGGCGTCTCCTTGCCCTTGCCCCCCTTGCCTTTGCCGCGGCCTTTCCACGCCTTCTCGCCGCCCCTCAACCCGCCGATGCCCATCGGATCGTCGTGGACCGCTCGCTCCGCCGTCAGCGCCGACACGACTTCGGCTCTCAAGAGCTCGCACTGTTCAGCCGACTGCTGTTCCGAAGCACGTGCTCCTGCAACTCGCCGTGATCCTCGAGCGCCCTGGTGAGGATTCCCCGATTAATGAGGTCCGACACGGGCTCGCCCGACATCTTCTGGCACCTCGCCATGTCCTCGTCGAGCTCGCTGATACTCAGCATCACGTCTTCCGTTGCCTCGAACTTAGTGTCCGTGAGCTTGGTCCACATCGCTAGCACGTTGCCTGCTTCGCTTGGGTTGTACTCCTTCTGCAGCTGTCGCCAGCGCGCCGCTCCTTCGCCCGCGCTGCTGTTCCCCGCGATCATCTCGCCCGCCGAGTCCTCGGGCATGACGAGGACCAGGGCGAAGTACAACTGCGTGCTGAGCTCCTCCTCTTGGGCTGACCGGTTCACGTTGTCCACGTCCTGCGCTCCGTCTTCGCACTTCTCGAGAAAAGGTCGATACCTTCTGTCTTGCGCGATCAGGTAGGCTCTGCACTGGAAGCTGAACGTCTTCCAGCTCGCTCTCTGACCGTCGAACGGCTTCACTTTGTGAGAAATCTTTGGGTCCATCATCTCGCCACGAGGCCCTCGTTCTCTGTCGGATTGTCCTTGAAGCTGGCCTCGCATCTCGGCTATCGCTAGATTTCGCTGCTGAAGCCCCGTCCTCATCTGC